ATGCTACTATTTCTATAAAAGAATAGGTAATGAATGTAGGAAGATTATCTTTAAGAAGATACATGAGAAATGGGTAATACTAATTACCTCTGGGTAGTGAGCCTGAGAGGAGGTAAAAGGGAATGTCAATTTTCACTGTAATGTACACTTTTATTCCTTTTAGTTTTATACATGTGTGTTGGACAAGAAAACAAAGTAATTCAAGTTTTAAAAATATATAAATATGAACAGATCAACTATATGCCATAAGGAAAAAGTTGTACGCAGTAGCCTAGCAGAAGCTGCTCAGAGAAAACTGCATCCAGTCCACCCACAGATGCCAAATCAATGCCAGTCTTCACTCATCGATCACGTGACTGGCACGAGAACAGGGACACTCGAGGGCTCTCATTCAATGTCTCTTTCAGAAAAACATCCTTTTCTAGGAACTTATGTAAAGCAATGGTGCTCAAATGGAAAAAAAATGTCACTCTTTTTACAAAGACTTTTTTTTTCCTTTTCTCAAATTTTTTCCTTTCCCTTCTTTTGTTTTCCCTACTCATTCCACTTCCCCTTTGGACCTTTTCTTCCTAGTGGAGGGACTGAAGGGCAGGGGAATGGGGAAAAAAAATAAGAACAAGGGCTGGGGATTTAGCTCAGTGGCGCCATTTCTGCCTCGCAAGCCTAAGGTCCTCAGTTCAATCCCCAGTACAGAGGGAAAAATAAGAACTAAGATTCATGCAAAGATACAAATTCCCAATGATGAATGTCATCATGTTGTATACCAAAACATACCAATAAACTTAATGAAAACAAATGTCAGGTGGGTTTCTGACGTCACAATGAAAAGCACTTACTGGCAGTTAACAACTGGCAGCCAGGGGCATAACTGTATCATAATGTACAAGACTGAATTATCACACTCAGAAATGTTAGATCCATTAAGGTACATATAATACTGTTCATAACTGTGAAAATTATCAAATAATTTCATAAAGGGGGCTGGATATATAGAATATGGTACATCTTTAAAACAATTTAAATAAGACAATTATATACTTAGATTCATAAACATAAAAGGTTGTCCCCCACACTATGGGTGGGGGAATAAACTTGCAAAATAGCATTGGCAATATATATATGCATCATAGTTATGGGGCTGAAAAGATGCCCTTAAAAATGTAATTGCTGGGCCAGGTGTGGTGGTGCACACCTGTAATCCCAGCACTGGGGAGGCTGAGGCAGGAGGATCACTGTGAGTTCAGGATCAGGCTGGGCTACATAGTGAGTTCCAGGTCAGTCTCACTACATAGTGAGACCCTGTCTCAAAAATAAAACAAACAAACAAAAACAACAACAAAAATGTAATTGCTGGGATTTCAGATTTGCAATACCCTCTCCTTCATAATTTATGCTGTTTAATAGTAGGAATAATAGTAGGAATAATCTTTATAAAGATATTTTTTAAATTAAGAGAAAATGAAGTTTAGAGTTACAGTAACTTCATTAAGGTCACAAAATTATTATTGCCATATGTTAAAACTACAACTAGCTACCAAAATTATATTTTGATCTCAAGAATCCTCTGCACAGTAAAGTATTTAGGAAAGAAAACTTCCAACGCGGGCAACACCACAATGAGACCTCAACAAGACCCAGTCTCAAAATAAAAATTGGGATATAGCTCAATGCAAAGACCTTAGATTTAATTGTGTGTGTGTGTGTGTGTGTGTGTGTGTGTGTGTGTTTGTGAGAGAGAGAGAGAAAGAGAGATGCTTTTTTAAAGTTCTTATTGAATTTACTAATCCCACTTTTTAAGACAGAAAATTCTATCCAAATTGTACATAATACATTTACTAATATAATTCATATTTTAAAGCAAAGTCTTTTAATTTAAATATTTAATATACAAAAAAATATAGTAACATCTTGAGTCTGCAAACTACAGCTCTCCAGGCCAAAAATGGTTCTGTTTTTGTTTTAAGAGACAGGGTCTTTCTGTATTGTCACTTATGATCTCAAACTCCTGCTTCAGCCTCTTGAGTACCTACCAACAGGCACACACCACCCCACTAAGCTCAGCACTGTTTCTGATGGCCCATAAGCTAAGAATAGTTTTTATTTTTAAAAGATTATTAAAAGAAAAATGAAAAAGAAGTGAAGGATGAAAAAGGAACAGTAGAGATAAGAAAATGTTATACAGTCCACAAAAATTCAAAATATTTACTATCTTTTATTTTAAAAACTGTCAACTTCCAATATATACATTGTTATTATTACATATATTGTACACTATATATTAAATATTCTATAATTTGTATATATTTAAATTTATATTTTTGTGGGGCTGGGGATTGAATCCAGTATCTCAAATGTGCTAGGCAAACCCTCTATCACTAAACCATACCACCAGCTCTTTCACTTTAGTTTATATATACTTTTAATGAAAATGGTAAGGACCTAAAATCCCAACATCAACATATGGCCTCACATTTTCTCTAAAATTTAAATTTGGATTAAAAACATGCTGTATAAAAATACTAATGGTTCAAACTAAAAGTGAACTTGAGCTAAAAAGTCTCATTTTACAAACAATAAGCTGGGCATCGTGGCATATGCCTGTAATTCCAACACTTGGGAGGCTGAGACAGGAAGATCACAAGTTCAAGGCCAGCCTGCCCTACACAGCGAGACCATGTCTTGAAAAACCAAATAAATAAAAGAAAGTAGTAGGTACTCAATGGAAAATACAAAAAAATAAAAAAAGTGCCTAGAAGGAAAAAAAATTAAAAACTCTTGAATTTCCAGAAAAATTTAATGTACTTTCCTTTCCAGTTTATGTATAATTTTGTATCTTACCTTTTTTTAACCTAGTAATCAATCCTGAAATTTCTCTCATATCATTAATTAATCTTCAGAAATGTGCCTTTAAGGGCAGCTAAGTACTACTGAATAATTAGGTGGTTCCATTTTCACTACTGACAATGTTACAGTGTGAATTCTTGTAGTATTATTTGTGTAAAACCATAATTTCGTCATTATACATTCTTTTTCTTTTGGTACTGAGAATCAAACCCAGGCCCTTGTGCTTGTGAGGCAGGCAGCAGAACCACTGAACCAAATCCCTGGCCCCTCATGATGCATTCTTAATAACAGGCTATTAAATGTAAGAACAAACTTAGAAGGACTCGAGGATTAACTCCTTACACTTCAGAACAGATTCACTAAAACCTACCATTTTTATACCAATATGAATCATCAATCATCCTTCTGCAATTATAAGGATAATAGAAGGAACACAAAATACAGATTTTATTTTGGCCTTTATGGGATACAAAACATTGTAAAAAGAATTTTACATTTGTTAAATACAATAATGTACCAACATCACTTAAAGACAGTATACTAACTGTCCAAGTATCTATTACTCAGGTATGTGTAGTACTTAAGATCATCTGCTAGCACCCTATTCCACTTTCCCCAAATAAGCCATCAAAAACAATGGCACTGTTTTATTCTTAAAATTACCTCATCTACCTTTGTTTCTTCCCTAAATGCATATATATGCCTATTATTGGAAGTCTTATTGCACTGATCAAATATATTTCCATAAAAAGTGGTAATTATTAAAAGTTCTGGAACAGTGATGCGTATGGAGGGACACATCTGTAACCCCAGCACTTGGGAGGCTCAGGCAGGAGGAGTACCTCAAATCCAAGGCCAACCTGGGCTACATAGCGGGTTGAAGGTCAAAATGAACTATATAGCAAGAACCTGTCCATCACCTACCTTGCCCCCTAAAAAAGAAAGACATAGAATGGTTCCACTAAGTTCATATGGAAAGTAATATATATGAGCATGACTCCTAGGTCAAAAGTTGAACATCTACCTAAGTTTCCAGAGACTTTCAAGATAAAATTCTTACATAAGGAACATATGCATTTTTAATACTTTCTGCAGAGTCAAATTATAAAGATTTTTGCTATATATAACCCAGTATCTCTCCACCATAGTTTAAGATACTGAGTCTAAATGTCCAACTTATTTGGCAAGGAGACTATAATTTTAAGTATTCAACAGTAAGACAGAAAAATCACAGTAGTTTTCAAAATATTCCACACTTATATAGCGATTTTTCCATATTTTAACTTCTTTACACCTCAAAGAAGTCCCTATTCTGCAACTTTACAACAAAGGAGAAAGACGTGTCATACTAGTACACAACTGGGTCAAAAACTGGTCCCAGCTGATGGCTTTCAAATCCGGACACCATAAAAGCCTTCCACAGCCAGGAGTCAGGTAAAACAGTATTACTGAGCATAATACTAATAAAGACACTTGGAGTGAAGCCTTCCTCTTTATGATTTCTCTTCCATCTTTAACATATAACAGGCCTGAAAATACTTCATCTCAAAGCTGACTGAGAACAGACAATCTGTTTATTTTGGTTCTGGCCTGTTTTAACTCTATGGTCCTGCTTGACGTAAGCCTTGGCTTTCATATCTGAACACAAAGTTACATGTGGATATAGTTTCACATTTTTCACACTTACAGTTATTTAATATTAAATGAGAGCATGCATGAAAATGTTCTAGCTCACTAAGTATTTACTGAATGAATTAAGGTATGTGTGGTTGGAAAGAGAACTACTTGTATATGTTCAAAATAATAATAAAGACATTTTCCCAAGGCAAATCTCTATTTGCTGGTTTGCTTAAAAGTGGCTGGCAATGCATACAGAATATAATTGAACATGTCTGCTATTCTAACAAATTCTTCTTCAAACTGCCTCTGACCCAGTTATTTTCACTTATCAACTACAAATACAATGAACCTTCACTCAAGTCATGACCAGCCTGACATATGAACAAGTGGGGTTAATTAGGTTAATGGAGGATTCATCTGCCTCTTTGTTATCTGTAGTATGTACCTAGGTAAATATCCAGATCTCAGCCGAACTGACTTACAAGCAACTTGAGCTACAACTAGACCTTGGGAATTGATTGTATTCGTTAATCAAGGGTCCACTGCACCTGTAATAATCCTAAGGCAAAAAAATCAAATTTAGCTTTGGAACAACTAGTCACTACAAACACACTTACGTGGAGAGTGTGGAATTACAAAACAAGAGCTATTCCTTGATCTCCAAACATATTAATAAAAATTTGCTAATATCTTTGTTTTTACAACTAGATTTTCTAATCTATATCTGTTATTTATACACAAGGCAGCAAAGAAAATGCTGAATACAGTGTTTTCCAAGTTAGCATTTGCTACTTTAAAAACTTACCGAGAAATGCTGAAGTAACTCCTCTTTTTCCTCCTCCATGAATTCCCGAACTGTCAGTGCTTTAGGGCGGTGGTCCACCACCATGTGATTCAGTGAGCCTCTTCCTCGTCCTCCGCGGCCTCGGCCTCGGCCTCGCCCTTGAGAGGACATGGTCTTGCCTCGACCCACAGGTAAAATACCTAGTCGTGCAGCCTATAAAACAACAGAAGGCAGAATATGATGTACATTGTTAAGACTATGCCTTGAAAACAGAGGAACAGAAGACTAGTTTTTGAGATGTTAGATCTCACCTCAACCTGTAACTGACTGAGTTTTTTCCGTAACTCTGTCGTGTCTTCTCCTGATGACAGCCTCTTATGCAGGTCCAGTTCAGTATCTAATAACTCCTTCTGTGCCTTTGGAAAAAATAAGAATAAAAGGGCACATCTTTAGATAACTTCCAAGATCTTCTCCAGAATATTATAGTTACAGTGCGTAAAATCAATCAGCAAGAAGATGCAATAAATGAGTGCTTTAAGGAAAGTAACTTTACAGATATGATACTGCAAATAGATAGACAGCATAATGATATAAGTAGAAAATAATAAACAGCATTACTGTGTAAGATGGACTACAATTTAGGCCTTGGAAATGGTCACCTCAGATGAGAGTTGAGAGTAATTTTCACATAATAAAGTATCATAAATGAAAAACACAAAGGGGAAAAATAAATTATATAATAGTATATAGGTAACCACTACAGCTGGGCATAAACCATTACTCCCAGCACTCAGAAGGCTGAGGCAGAAGGATCACTGCCAAGTTTGAGGCCAGCCTAGGCTACACAGTGAGTTTAAGGCCAGCCTGAACTACATAGCAAGACCCTGTCTCTAAGAACAAAAACAACAACAACAACAAAAGAACAAAAAGGAAACAGCTACAGAATTATTTTCAGATGGGAACTCTGTAACTGCTATCACTCTTCTGTACAAGACAAATCATTGATTAGTCTTTAGGTGGTATGACTATGAGAGATTTTTTTTCTTTCCTCCCATGAATTCTTAATTTTTAAAACCAGGTAGAATATATATATGCCTATAGTCCTAATTACTCAGGAAGCTGAGGTGGAGGATCACTTAAACCCAAGAGTGTGAGACCAGCCTGGGTAACACAGGGAGACTTCTGATCTTAAAAAAAAAAAAAAAAGAAACAAAACTTAGTAACGGGTATGGGGAAAAAGAAAAAGATATATCATATAAAGCTACAAGATCCCAATGATAAATGCAATTGTACTGTTTGCTTTAAATGTACCAATAAACTTAATGAGGGGAAAAAACCTAGTATGTTATTCCAATAATTTGAGGAAATTTCAATAAAAGTAAAATACATTTTTTAGTTGGGCATGGTGGCACACAGCTATAAGCCCAACACTCCTATCACCTGATCACCATGAGTTCAAGGTCAACCTGGGCTACATACCAAGACCTTGTCACCAAAACAAAAGAGGCAACTTTAACGAAATACCTTAAGTAAGTAACTCTACTGAACTGTAATTTCACATGTAGTATGTTATGTACAATAATTACATTCTAGCATAGCTGACAAATTTATTCTCAGTTCTCAAAGGGCTAAAAATTATCTAAAATCCCACTACAGAACACTATGATGTAATAGAAACTTGGCATAAAGCAAGTATTTTCCTAAAATAAGGAAACAAATGGACTTAATTAGATTTAAATGAACTTCAGATTATTCTTTTCAATAACATGCCACATCTTTAGTGATAAAAATGATATATTTGACTATTAAAAGAGATGGGTTTATTATAACAATATTACAGCATTAAAAAAAATGCTGAAAGTGAAAAATCATAATAGCTAAACTCTGAAAACAGACCAAATGCCCATCAATGGATGAACGGATAAAGAAAATATAGCATATATACACAATGGAGTATTATTCAACCATAAAAGAGAAATCTGAGTCATTTGGAGGAAAATGGAAGGATCAGGAGACCGAAATGTTAAATGGAGTAAGACACAGTTAAATATTAAAAGTCCCCAAATATAAACCAACTAAAGAGTAATAAAAAAGAGATGGAATACAGGGAGGTAAACTTTCTAGAGATAGGGAAGGGGATCAAAAATGATCAAGAGACTGTGTGTGTGTGTGTGTGTGTGTGTGTGTGTGTGTATTTGCAACTCAAAACAAATGTTAACTATTACATATCTATCATAAACATATACCAATTAAAAAAGAAAAACTACTATTGAAAACTACAGACTCTAAAAAAAGTGATCGAAGAGGATACAAGAAAATGGAAAGACATCCATTGTTCATGGGTAGGAAGAAACAATATAGTGAAAATGGCCATACTTCCAAAACTGCTATACAGATTCAATGCAATCCCGATTGAAATCCCAACAGTATATTTCACTGAACTAAAGAAACAAATACAAAATTCAAAAATTCATCTGGAACAAGAAGAGACCTAGAATAGCAAAAGCCAACAGAGACATGACAGGGGGTATCACAATCCCCAAACTGAAACTATACTACAAAGCTGTGATAAAAACAGCATGGTCCTGACAAAGAAACAGACCCGAGGATCAGTGGAATAGATTAGAAGATGCAGAAACAACTCCAGACATACTCAGCTACCTCATCTTTGACAAAGGAGCCAATCATCCTCAGTGGAGGAAAGATAGCCTCTTTAATAAATGGTGTTGGAAAAACTGGGTTTCAACTTGTCAAAGATTAAAACTAGACCCCTACTTTCCCCCATGCACTAAACTAAAATCCAAGTGGACTAAAGATCTAAATATTAAACAGGGATTTAGCTAAGTGGTTCCACCACCTGCCTTGCAAGTAGGTAAGGTCCAGAGTTCGATCCCCAGTACCAAAACAAAACAAACAAACACACAGAAAAAACAGAAAAACTAAACTTGTTGGAAGATAAGTTAGATAGAACTCTTGAAGACACTGGCATAGGAAAAGACTTCATGAACAAATCCTCAGCAGCATGAGAACTAGCACAAAGAATCTTTTTAAAAAAATTCGCATCTTTTTAAAAAGCTCCTGCACTGCAAGAAAAACCAATAGAACTAGGACAACCTACATTGTGGGAAAAAATTTTTTACCAGCTGTTCCCTCAGACAAAGGTCTACTACCCAGAATATATAAAGAACTCAAAAAATTCAGACCTCCCAAATTTAAAAAGCCAATTCAAAAATGGGTATCTGAAATGAACAGACATTTCTTCAAACAAAGAAAAGCAGCAAACAAACTTATGAAAAAATGTTCAACATCACTGGTCATTCGAGAGATGCAAATGAAAACACTGAGATTCCACCCCATCCCAGAAAGACTGGCTGCTATCAAGAAATCAACGAATAACAAGTGCTGCTGGGATTGCAGGGTAGAACGAAACCCTTCTCCATTGTTGGTGGGAGTACAGACTGGTGCAACCACTGTGGAAATCAATATGGCGATGCCTCAAACAACTAAGACTAGAAGACCCCTTCCTCTATTCCTCTTCTGGGTATCTTCCCATAAGAATTAAAAGAATCACACCACAGTGATATATGCTCACCCATGTTTATAGCAGCACAGTTTGTCATAGCTAAAACTTGGAAATAGCCCAACTGCCCATCAACTAGAGATTGGATAAAGATGTGTTTTTTTAATAAATGGAGTACTACTCAGCTGTAAAGAATGAAAAACTAGAGACATTTATAGCTAAGTGAATGCGTATTGAGGATATATGCTTAAGTGACATTAACAGGACAAACGTGTAAATACTGACTACCATCTCTGGTGTGATAAAAGTGTAAATAAGGTTCAAAATATATAACCGATATTTTGTAATTAGGAAAAAAGGTCTAAAGATGTAGGGGAAGTGGGAGGGGGGTAGGGGAAAGGTAAGAAGGGAAATGAAAAAATAAGAGAAAAGGAAAAAAATGGAAACAAAGTATTTGTAAACAGGGAAGCGTGAAGGGAGGCCAGGAGAATGGGGAAAAAATAAGAACCAAGATACATCATGTAAAGGTACAAGATTCCAGTGATGAACGTAATTATATATCTAAAATGTACCAATAAAGAAAGAAAAAAAGAAAAACTACTGAAATTGAAAATATTCCTCCCTTATCACCCTAGCAGTTTTCGCTTCAGCGAAAAAAAAAAATTAAAAAGATTTTTTAAAAAATCAATTAAAAAAACACATCTTGGGGCTTGTGGGTGTAGCTCAAATGGTAGAATAACTATTTAACATCTAAAAGGCCCTAGGTTTAATACCAAGCACCAATAGTCAACAACAATATACTTCTATCCAAATAGTATTATCACCTCTTCTCAAAGAGTAAGTAGCAGCTGTAGAAACACTGAACAAACACTACTATAATTATTTGCTCACCTCTTCATTAGGCTAGTACCTACCAAAGGGTCGTACTACGCTTTCAAAGTCCCAGCACATTAGAAATGTTCAATCACACTGTTAAATGAAAACTGCAAATAGATACCTCTGTTTTTGTCTTCACTTTGGATGGTGCGGAGACTGTAGATGATGTTTTTAATTCATCTTTTAATTGTGAGATCTTTTCTCCATGCTCTTTCAAAGTCTTCATTATATTTGCTCTTTCCTCTGGTTTCATGTTTTTGTTTTTCTCTAGCTTTGATATCAGCATCTACATACAAATCAATCCCCCCCCAAGAAAAAAAGTAAGCATTATGCTGAGTAAACTTCAAGTCTTAAAGACTCTACTATTATAAATATCTTTGTATATCAATTCTATACACCATGGCCCACATGCAGATGAGTTATCTTACCTTTTGGCATTCTATCTGTTTTTCTAATACTTCTTGCCTCTTTTTCCTCATATCCTGTTGTAGCTTCATTGCTTCCTATATGGAAAGGTAAAGACAAAATTAGTAATGTATAATGAAATTTGTCAATGATGTTACTGTATGTATTCTTAATGTATTTTTTTCTGGGTCATCTTCTCTTAAGATTTTTCCTCCTAATCAAAAAACAGCTGAACTGAGAGATGAAATATTTTGAACATATTTTCCCTAACGCGTCCAGTTTTAGAGTTTAAATTGATAATCACTTGAAAAAATCATTTATAAGATTGGACACTGTTGGATACATCTATGAGGTTTGACTTGACCTCAATGTCTTCAACAACAAAAAAACACATTATTTTCACTTGCCAAAGCCAAATCCCTATATTTTGAAGCTCAAAGTTTAAAAAATATCAGGCTGTGTATTTTTTCCAGGAAAATTTTGCTTTTACTCTGCTGAAACTCTTATATGAAACATTATCTAATTTACAAAACCAAAAACGAGGGCTGGGAATTTAGCTCAGTGGTTCCGCCGCCTAAGCTTTGCAAGCGAAAGGTCATGAGTTTGATCCCCAGTACCCCCAAAATACAAAAAAACAAAACAAAACAACCAAAAATGAATTAGAAAATACTGAAAATAAGTGCCTGCAGGGGCCGGGGATTTAGCTCAGTGGTGCTGCCCTTGCCTCACAAGTGCAAGGTCCTGAGTTTGATCTCTGGTACCAAAAAGAAAAAACCAGTGCCTGCATCAGGCCAAGAATGTATCACAGAGGTATAGCACTTGCCTAGCATGTGCAAGGCCTGGGTTCCCTCCCCAGTACTACAAAAAATAATAACAAGAAGAAGAAGAAGGCATAGAAATTTTTTAGGGTTGAGGGTATAGCTCAGTGGTAAGCACATGCTTATTAGCACATGCCACACAACTTCAGTTCAATCAAGAAAAAGTTACTCCCGATGTTTGATGTGGTCACTGAAACACAACTGTGAAGCAATTTTTCTGTCCATCCGTTTTACCCTCCTCAACACTTGGGATGGAACCTAGGGCCTCACACATACTAGGGAAGCACTCATCACTGAGCTACATGCTGAGTCCTGCTCATCTTGTTTTCTTTCTGTACATTAAATGGAGAACACATAAGCATGATCATATAGTTCTGCAACAATACAGAATGATTCAGAGGTGTTAACATACGCACTGAAGAATTTTTTTTTTTTTTTGAGACAGGATCTCGCAGTGTAATCCAGGCTAGCTTTGATCTCACTATGTAGTCAAGACTGGCCTGCCTCAGCCTCCCAATCACTGGGATTACAAGCATGTGCCACCACGCTCACCAAGCACTTAAGAACTTAATAGGTCCTTTACTCTGTAAGACAAGAACTCAAGATTGTACCTGTTTTTTTTTAAGAACCTCTTGAACATCATGAGACTTAGATCCTGAACAAAGTTTTGAAGATGTCTTTAAATTTGAGGAGCTGTAAATTGTTTTTGAATGTCCTGGAGGTGAAAACATCTTAAAAAGAAAAAATACACAAATATTAAATTTTACAGTTGTTAAAATGATTTGTGAAAGGCTATATATATTTCTGTTCTCCTTAGGAATTCAATTTCTTTATATTTAAAAACTTCATTTACAAAAGCTAATTATACATAAACTCAGTTGTTGCTAAAAAGAATAAAGTTTTTTGGCCCTAATATTTTATTTCTAATTGCAGCCCCATATTTTTCTTTTTAAATTTTAATTGTGAGAAGAGCAGTAGCCTGTAACACCTAAGAACTGGCCTGCCACTCAAATAGGCATTAGCATCCTTCTGTAAACACAATTTTTACAGAATACCGACATTAGACAATGCTACTATTTTGTGTTGAATCAAAACAAAATCAAAATATGACTAAACACAACAAAACATGGCTATTATCCAGAACACAAAAATAACTGAAACCCCTCTGACAGGCTGATAGGAATGAATTGCCAATGGCACCTTTAGATTATCCTCCCATTTCTATTCTGGGTCAGGTCTATTAAGGTATTCCATTCTGTTTCCTTAAATCCTACCCCAAATCACGTAGTACAGACCAAATCCTAAAATAAGTCCTTTTAATATCCATGGTTTCATTGTTATTACTCATCCTCACTGAATAATGAATTAAATTTGTCTTAGCCGAGTGTGCTGGTGCACACCTATAATCCCAGCACTCCTGAGACGGAGGCAAGACAGATCAACCCGAGTTTGAGGCCAACCTGGGCGATCTAGTGAGTTCAAGGTCAACCTGAACTATATAGCGTAACCCTGTCTCAAAAAAAAAAATGTTTTTGTTTGACTACAGGTTGCTCCTAAGTGGCCTTTGCCTGCAGGGTGCTGTCTTATTTTCCGTAAGTGAAATAAGAACCCATATTTCATATTGGAAACCTTTCACAAAATTATGGCAATCTGCAATTATCTTAATATCACTCAATCAATTGCTACTTGTTTATTTCCAATATAAACAGGAAATTATCTCATACACCTGTCTGCCAGCATAAGGAGGTGGCCATCTTCACTCTGGTTTTTTTTCTTTTTCTGAAAAGATGACTCTCCAAATGATCTCCCCTATTTGAGGCACAGCAGACCTACATGAGATATTATAATCTGGGTTCAAGTCTTCTCTCTAACATTGCTCTTTTCTTTCTAATTAACTTTTAATACATGATGTAACAGATGCAGGAAATATTTTAAAATTCATGGGAAATTTAATCATAAATAACATATCCAGATATAAAACTTTTCCCAGCCACTATAATATTTAGTTATTCTCAAAATTAAGCTACTGTGGTTACTTGCTGCTTTGCTTCTTCGCTACTTGCTTTCTTACTGCCTTCTGCGAACTGTTTCTCCTCTGCTATGCCACCCTGCCTTGGAGCCAGCCAACACAAACTGAAACCTCCACAAAACGAGCTGTAGTAAACTTTTTCTCTAAGAAAAGAACATACTTTAGGGCTGGGGATGGTAGCTCAGTTTTTCTGCTGCCTGCCTCACAAGCACAATGCCCCGAGTTCAATGCCCAGTACAAAGAAAAAAAAGAAAAAAGATACTTTAACTACAAAGGAAAAACCCCTGAGCACTGTAAAAACTATGCATAGATGTTTGTTATTTTATTTAAATAATTTTATTAAATTGTTGATATAATTGATAGCAATTAAAATGTCAATACCTACAGTTTATTATGTGCTAAACACTCTCTTTTATGCTTTATTAACAAGAAAAATTTTAACCCCCACTATAACTCAGTTTACTAAAAAGAAAATTATAGGGCCGGGGATTTGGCGCAGTGGTTCCGGCGCCTGCCTCGCCAGCACAAGGACCCGAGTTAGATCCCCAGTACCAAAAAAAAAAGAAAATTATAACAAAGAAAAAAAAGGGGCCGGGGATTTAGCTCAGTGGTTCTGCCACCAGCCTCCCAAGTGCAAGGACCAGAGCTCAATCCCAGGTACCAAAAAAAAAAAGCCTGGTGTAGTGGCACACATCTGTAATCCCAGCACTTGGGAGCCTGAGGCAAGAGGATCACTGTGAGTTCAAGGCCAGCCTGGGCTACATGGGAAGTTTAAGGGCAGCCTGCACTACATAACAAGGTTCTGTCTCAAAAGACAAATATAAACTTATAAACAAATAAATAAAACAAAACAAAATGGAAATTAATGCCTGAGTTCTCTAACATAGCCATAAGAGGCAGAACAAGTTAGTCAGGATTCTCTGACTTTAAAGTAAACATTTTTGCGCCAGGCATGGTGGCACATGCCTGTAATCCCAGCACTCAGGAGGCTGAGGCAGGAGGATCACTGTGAGTTCAAGACCAACCTGGGATACATAGTGAGTTTCAGTTCAGTCTCAACTACATAGTGAGACCCTGTCTCAAAAAACCAAAAAAACAAAATAAACATTTTTGTTTTTCATAGTGGAATTTTTGAACAAAAATAGAGTTGCATAAAATACGTAACTCAATACATAGTCTTATTTCAGTTATATTTCCAACTACTACATTCTTATCTTAAATACCTTATCATTTTGAGTTGTATCTCTAAAAATAAAAGGAGTCCTTTCTTTTTTCAACATAACAAGGCCATCATTTCACTTTAAAAGATAGAAATAAGTCTTTAGCCTCATTAAATATTCACATCTCTAGTTTGTTTCTTTAGTCTTCTTTAATCCAGTCTCTTTCTTTTTTGTTTCCCTTGCAAATTATCTGTCCAAGAAATCAGGACACTCATTCACCAAATGCTCCCCCATAGGATTCTGTGGAAGCCTTTAACAGATTCCTCTGCCCCGCAAATGTCATTCAAAGTGGGTATGATCTACACCCTTGATGAGATTTTTCTCTTTTCTCAACAGAACTCTAGCAATGCTTGACAATGTCCTCAGTTTCCACTTTGATGAAACAGTCTAAGCTCATCTGTAACACGTCAGTCCTAGCTCTAGAGATGGGCATTTCTTCAAGGATCCTAGGCTTCTTTGAACACTAGCACTGGTAACTGTGCTGGTCACTGTTTCTAGAACTAGGAAAGGTCTTAAGATTATTGTGTTGCCCCCTTCCATGAAGATAAAACACAACATGAGTTTCCAAGGATACTTTCAATTCAAATGGACACTATAGAGGTTTTTCTTAAATCTGCTCATCTCTCTATTCAACCACAGTGAAAATCTCAGCCATCAACGACATCAGTATAAATATTCATTCCATTTGCTCTACAATGCTCACAAACCTGTTTCAGGATGTAAACTGAGCAATCCTAATCTGAAAATCCAAACTCTGAAATGTTTCAAAAGATGAAACATTTTGAGCACAAACAATGACATTCAAAGTGAAAAATAATACACCGTGAAACTTTGTTTCAAGCACAAAATGATTAACAATACTCCTATAAAATTATCTTTAAGCCATGTGTATAAAGCATATATGGAACAAAACTGAATTTTGTGCTTAGACTATACTATATGCACATGCAAACATCACAAAATCTGAAAATCTAAACTCTACAACACTACTGGTCCCAAGTATTTTGTATCTCCTCCTCCTCCCCCTTTATCAGTGATCCAACTCAGGGCCTTGCACTTGCCAGGCAGACTCAGCACCACTGAGCTACACCACCCCCTCAAATATTTTGGCTATAAGATATTTGCAACTTTTACTAAAACTGGCAACAATATGACTGTTAAAAAGATTTTTTTTTTTAATTGCTTTTAGGGGCTGGGATTTAGCAATAGAGCACTTGCTAACCTTTCACAAGGGCTTTGGTTTGCTCTTTAACCCCACAAAAAACAAATAGCTTCTTGTCTTCAGGGTATATCAAATTAGGAACATACAGTCAAACCACTGTAAAGCATTTGGAAAAATCAGATCCTTCTGGAATTTATCCTGGTTTATGAGATAAAAATTAAAAGGATTTAATCTTATCTTTTCTGCATGGTTACCCAGTTACCCCAATACCATTTATCAAAAAATCCATTATTTTCTCAATAGATCCGAGATACTTTGTTAGCATAATTCCTATTTGCAGTTGAATCTACTTCTAGATTTTTTATTCTGTTCTATTGGCCTATTGATGATTGATGTACCAAAATCAAATTGTTTCAGCTAGAGACCTTTTAGGCTTTTGAGCGCTAACTCCTGTTGTCCTTTTTGGGGATATCCATCTCTTTACGATAATTACCATACCAGAGAATTATTAGATATTATTTCTAAAAGCAAAAGAAACTACTTAAGACATATTTCAAAGTATGGCTTACTATGACATAATTCCATTTGGTGTTAATATTATTAAAGAGGAAAATGATTAACAAAGACATCTAGGCCAGGGATTTGGTCCAATGGTTCCACGACCTGCCTCATAAGCACAAGGGCCCAAGTTCGATCCCCAGTACCAAAAAAATAAAAAAATAAAAATAAAGACATCTAAATAGCTACAATTTTCAAATTCCTACTTAGCTTTGAATTAAAAAAAAAATAAAGAGAAAATTTCTGACTGAGGCATGGAAATTAGGGAGATCACACACCAACTGTCACTCTTGACTGAGGAAGTAAGGCATACAAATCTGGATGATAATTTGTTTTTTAAGCCACTGGCTCTTAAATACACCACACAGACACAGAAACACATGCGCACACACACACACACACACACACTGTTGATTTACAAAAATGCATACCTGGCAATCCTCCCCAGCACCACCAGCCTGATTTAACAAATGTGACGTATCACTCTGGTTAGCACTTGCATGTCCAAGACGATGTTTGACAGGAACTTTGTTAAGAACATATGCACCTGATGTCTGTGGTTTGCTCATCATCTATACATACAAAACAAACACATATGCAGTAAAAGTGTAAAAATATCGTACGGGGGATTTAGCTCAGTGTTGCTGCCACCTGTCTTGCAAGAGCAAAGTTCCAAGTTTGATCCCTGGTACCAAAAATAAATAAATAAGTAAACAAAATTATGCCCAAGAATGATACAATTTTAAGATGCCGTGGTTACCTTGGCAAAGATTAAAGGAATAAGAGATGGTCCAATTATCTGTATGGTTTTAATTTTCAAATGAAGTGGTACATATATAAAAGATGATGTTATCTTACCATACTTTTTTGGATGTCTAAACTATGTCACAATAGCTAGGGGTATAGCTCAGTGGTAGAACACATGTTCAAATACACGAGGGCCTGGGTTCAACCTCCACCACCAAAAAAAAACATTTAACATTTAACATATAAACATTTATATGCTAATGAGGACAATAAATGGAACGTGTACTTTAAGAAATACTTTTAAAACTCTGCATTTAATCTAAACATGAGAATACTTAGGTGGAGATTATAATCATCAATATATGAATGGCTTCAAGGCATAGTAGTTTGTTCTTCCTTCATCTATTCATTCAAATGTTTCGAGAAACATGTACAAGGTACTGCTTTAGGCCCTAAGAGCAGAAAGAATCCAGCAGTCACAACTCTCTTGGTGCTTCCATTCCAGTTTTTGGGTACTGAACCCAGGGCCTCAAATAAGCTAGGCCAAATGCTCCACTGTTGAGCTACACCCCTAGATTTCCATTCTAGTATTACAACAAAGATTTTTTAAACCCTCAGCCCTTTCATTTTTTGAGACAGGATCTTGCTAAATTGCCCAGTCTGACCTTGAACTTCTGGATCCTCTTGCTTACCCAGCCAAGTAACTGGAATTATAGGCATGAACCATCACATCCAGTGAAGAGTGCTTCTCATGTGTAAATTTATGTGCTCCATATCTAAAGATTGACTATAAATTTAGAACAACAGATGAGGCCCAGAAATGTGCATCTAAGTAACTGATTCTGATGTACAATATCACTTCTCAAACTTCAGGATACATAAGAGCTATTACAACAGATTCCTAGGCCTTGCTCACAAAGACTCTAATTGAGTAGGATGGGATGAGGCCGAAGAATCTGTATTTCTGGGTTTGTTTGTTTATCTTTTGTACCAAAGATTGAACTCAGGACCTTTTGATAGTGAAGCAGGCAGCAGCACCACTGAGCTAAATCCTGGCCCAAAACTCTGTATCATTCTAATAAGACTGCTAGGAGGCCAGATGCTGGTGGTTTACAAACTACACCCTAAGTAGCTCTAATGTAGCGTGAAACTAGCTTTTAATCCATAACACCCCAGATTACCTTCTGGATACCACCATGCACAGAGGAGGGTGGAGCCTGGCCCACCAGCGCTGGCTGAGAATGAAGATGCTGTGGCAAATGATGATGCTGCTGTGGGAGGTGACTCATTGTCTGCTGGAGCAGCTGTGTCGGGGACTGCAGTGCTGATTGCTCGTTGTTTTCTCTATGCCACAGGACTCGAATGAATCGGTTGTTCAGAACGGCTTCTGTACTAGAAATGGCTTTCCTGGCTTCCTCATTGGTGAGGTACTGAATGAGCGCTGCTTCTGGATCACCCTTAAAAGCAACCTTTAAGAAAATAATAAAAGCAACATAAACTCTCAAAATACACAATAGTTAAATAGTTAAATATATTATGTCTGTATTATTCTTTTCTACCATACATATATTTTATAAGTAAACTGTTCCATTCAAAATTCATGTGTTGAATTCCTTTCAGTGGAAATGTTACTTTTAGGAAGTAATTACAGTTAAATGAGGTCTATGTTTGGGGTCCTACTTGAATCAGATTGGTGGCCTTCTGAAAAGAGGGAGAGATTTCCCTTTTTTATCTCACTGCCACACAAAGACATAGTGTTGCCCACTGTCTGCAACCTATATAAGAGATCCCTCACTGAACTGGCCAGTCTCCAAAGATGTACAAAACTAAGAGAAATACATTTCTGTTGTTTATTTCCACCTACAGTATTTCTTATGGCAGCTGTGCAGACTCCTATACCTAACTATATTAAGTTATTTAAATTTTTCTACATGCCATAAAAATAATGATGTAGAAAAACTTTAAAAAAAAAAGGACATCTGGTATGAACACCTCCGTGCGTGTGTGTGTGTGTGTGTGTGTGTGTGTGTGTGTGTGTGTGTGTTTTGAGACAGGGTCTAAGACTGCTCTGGAACTCACTATGTAGCCCAAGCTGGTCTTGAACTTTCAGTGATCCTCCTGCCTCAGCCTCCCAAGTGCTGGGATAACAGGCATGTGCCACCACGCCTGGCTTAGGAGTATTCATCTTTGATGAAAAGATATAGGTTTAATTTTTACATTTAAGAGTGTATGTGTATATAGGAATATATACTGAAAATGCTTCACAAACTTAACAATTATAAAGGAAAGCCAGGTGTGGTGGCACACGCCTGTAATCCTAGCACTAGAGAGGCTGAGGCAGGAGAATTGCTGTGAGTTTGAGACCAGCCTGGACTACAGTGAATTCCAGGTCAGCCTCAACTACATAGTGAGACCCTGTCTCAAAAAAAAAGAAAGAAAAATGAATACTCCTAAAGCTATAATCCCAGCACATGGGAAGCTGAGGCAGGAGGATCACCACATAATGAGTTCAAGGCCAGCCTTAACTGTACAACAAGATCCTGTCTTAAAAAAAAAGTCCTTATTGGCAAGCAGTAAGATCCAGGTATTTTGTTTTTTCACTTCTGTTCAATACAGTTCCAATTATTTCTAAAACTAAACATGGACTACTTCTGCACCTAAGGGGAGAAAATGCTTTAAAAGCTTTCAAAGAAGAGCACTTTGGCTCAATTCTTTGAACTATCAAGTCTCCAATAATACTTCCTTAAACTCAGCTGTATTTTGGTTTGATAACATGCATCAAGAATAATACTGAAATTCCAACTTAATATGTTCCTGAAGGTTTGAACCACCAGTGGTACATGCACGACTATCACATTTGGGCATCTTGTACCACTGGTGGCACAAATGGATGTAATTATTTTTATTGGTCTTTTTGCTAATAAAAATTACCCAATGGGACAGTCATGCATGTACCACCCCAGTGGTTCAAACCACATGGCAGCAAGACATATGTATTATATCTCCATTGTGTATATATGTTAAGCCAGCTTTCCAGTATCCTCAATTTCAGCACAACACAACCACACATTCATAAATTCAAATATCTAACACAGTGGGGGGGGAGTACAATTTATTTTATCTTGGATAATTTTTTAAAATTTTTAAATTAAAACCATTATTAATTACTTCATCACAATATACTCTAAAAGTTAGTCAACAGAAGATTACAGTCTTAGAAATTATCAAAAATCTAAATTACTGGGCCAGGGAATTAGCTCAGTGGTTCTGCCACCTGCCTCACAAGCACAAGGTTCCGAGTTCGATCCCAGGTACCCCAAACAAAGGAAATAACCTAAATTACTGACAGGTGTGGTGGCACATGCCTGTAATCTCAGGCTGAGGCAGGAGTTGAAGGCCAGCCTAAACTACACAGTAAGACCCTCTCTCGAACAAAAACAAACAAAAATATCTAAGCTACCTATTATAATATCACTGTAGGGAGAAAGTCACTGAACAATCAGAACTATGGACAAGAGTACAATAACTATACTAAATAGTTTCTCTAGTGTGAGAAACTGAAAGTGTAAATAAAGACTAAAAGGTATAATAGATAATGTGAAATGGAAAGAAAAGGGACAAAGGGGAAGGGAAACGAGAGGGGTGAGGGAAAGGAAAAGGGAATGGAAAATGAGAAAATGAAAAATAATGGAAACAAAGTCTTTGTAGATAGGGAGGGAGGGAGGGGTTGAAGGGAGGGCAGAGGGTTGAAGAAAAATATAAGAACCAAGATGGATTATGTAAAGGTACAAATTTTCAACAATGAATGTATTGTACACCTTAACGTACCAATAAAATTAATTTTTACAAAAGTAAAATAACTAGCCCAGTATCTTTCAGGAAGGAGCTATAGAAAAGAACCAAATTAATTCATAACAACAATTTCATCACTGAAGTAGGTATACAGATATAGTAAAGTTTACAACACTCAGAGAAGATCAAAATACTACTGACTCATTTAAGTAAGGTAAGCTGACAGGAGTATTTTCCAAGTGGACTCAGCCACTGATCTAACCATATTTACCTGGATATTAACAATAGTTCCAAATTTGCTGAAGTGTTCATTGAGCTTGGTAATATTGTTCAATTCCTGAGGGATTTTCTTGACTTCTAATTTGGTGTTTGTATACTGATTCTTTCGCAAGAATCCTGCTTTACTCTGATTATTATTTCCTTGCCTGAAACAAATAGTAATAGATCTTGATTGATTCTCCCACATTATCCCTAGCCAAGAGATACATTAGCGAAAACTGTAACATTTGTATTTATTATAAACTACTTTTGTAAGCCCTCAGCATTCGTCAGAAATTACTAAGCAATTTTTACATCATCCTTGTATTACAGCAGAGGAGAAAGAGTGAATAGGGATATATTATAAGGCTCAACTGACATTTTAAAAAAATCACATGTTAAAAACTGCATTACCAGGGCTGGGGATTTAGCTCAGTGGTCCCGCTGCCTGCCTTGCAAGCACATGGACCTGAGTTTGATCCCCGGTACCAAAAAAACAAAAAAAAACATATTACCAGATCTGACATTAAAGCACAGATAGAACACCATTTTTTTATGGTATGTCTCTCAACTTGTCTAAAGGTAAAAAACTTCTTTCTTCCTCTATTCACTTCTAGTATCTTAATAATTTTTAGTATTTGGTTAGATATTGAAATAGGTAGGTAAAATTTATAAATATCTATTATGAATATTCTATTAGCTTTTCAATTTTTAGAAAATTCTGATGTCCCTGAAATCCTAACTTTGAGACACACAGTTTGAAAATCGATTTATGACAACTTGTAATTTTAACCATTTCACTAATGTAAACAAAACAACAAATACACCAATTAAACGTTATTAATTTGCAAATTATCTTACTTTCCCAGCCACGGTTTCTTTGTGAGTGGCCCTTCCAAACCACTCACAGCTCTTTTTCGGCTATCTGGCTCAAGAACAACTCTGGTTATGTTGCTATTAATTGAAACAGGAACTGGTGGTTCAGTCTGGATGACAATATTAGCAGCTGTTAAGAGAAAAGATGCATATTTTTGAGCTTCAGGGGAATGTCAAAATGATTACAATATTTAGACTAAAAATTAAAAAGTATTATGACTAGCACTGTACTACCATTTCCTTTCTAGAAATATTTAACAAGAAAATTACAAATACCTTCTACTTCTCTCTTTAAAAGTAAAAATTCAAGTTTAAAAATTCAAAGGCAACCCCAAAGTAATAAATAACTCAGCTACAGATTATCAACGGGTGCAAAAAAATTACTGTAGAAAGGCTACTGAAAAACAAAGTACGTATATGGTGCCAAACTATCATTCTACAAATTACTTTTTACAAGAGAGATATGTAATAGTTATCACCTTAGGCAAGCATTCAAACTAATGTATCCACCATTAATGAAAGGATATCACCTGCCTCCGTTTCACAAGTTCACCACATCATAAGGACTGCATACTACTATAGAATTACGATTTTCTTGTGTGTGCTAGTAATACTGAGCTTATACAAGACTACATTCTTGTTCTTAGATGTAATTAAGCTTAAAGATTCACAAGGTCACAGTGTCTATCAACTTACTTGCAAATAGTTCGGGGAAAAAAATATGAGGGGAAGGGAGCAGGAAGAGACAGAAGAAAGTACACATGAAAGCACTTGTGGTCAAAGGAGACAAAATATGAACTGGAGACAAGAACTGGTAAATCTAAGTGAAGGTATTCATGTGTTCACCTTATTTCTTTTGATTTTTTTGTAGGTTTAAAATTTTTCAACTTAAAAGTTGGGAAGAAATTCCAAAGTCAGTACTATAAATAGGCATATTTCACTCCCAACAGTTATGACTAAATCTTTGGAGAAACAAACCTTGTGATAGGTTACCTGTGGAAGGGGAAGGGTATACTGAACAAAAAAGTAAACAACTCAAAAAACATGCCTGTTATACTCTGGGTACCCCCTAATTTTATCAACTATACAAAGCACAATCGCATATTATTGGACATTAAGATGCGAAACGGGTTGTAAGCAATATGTCCATTTCATTTGTTTCAGGCAAATGACAATGCAAAGATTCATCCATTTACTGGCACAGTGGTCACTCTTCTAATGCCAGCACTGAGGTGTGGGCAACTTAGTGAGTTCCTGTCTCAAAATAAGAAATAACAAAAGGGAGATATAGCTCAGTAATCCCTCAAAAAAGAATTCATTCATGTAATATGTATTCCTTGAGCAGCCATTTAATAGCTAACTGTACTAGAACTTGAAGATAAATTAGAGAATTAAATAGATACCCCTGCCTTTACATGATTTGTATTTTCAGAAGGCTAATGAAGCAGATTGTGATTGTGATGGCATAAAGCATTCTACAATTTGACATATCATTATGGCTTTCTAAATAGCTATGACTATCACCCAACACTGTCTAATGCTTCTCTTTATTGAACTGATTTTAAAAGAAAAAAGTAAAAAAATAGATGGTAGTCAAGTGACTTATGACGTGTCCAAGAGGACAAATCTGCAGTATAGAAATCACATGACTTTTACACTGAGAGAGATAATCTGTAATTATCATCAATGGATTACTATGTATGAATGTACAGACAGATAAGACTAGTAACTAACATAGGGAAAACTAAGAACATAGATCTCACCACTAATCCCAGGTAATGCAGTAACAATACAGTATATGAACCATAGCAAAGAAAGTAAGAGCATATTCTTTCGAGTTAGACTTAGGTTTAAATTCCAATTAAAGCTGTGTGATTTGGGGTAAATTCTTTAATCTCTGTAAGCCTCAATGTTTTATGAAAACAGTAAGAACAGAACCTCTTATGAAGTTATGTAGAAAGATAATAACACATAAAAGTATTTGGTGTAATCTGACATAAAAACTGTTACCTCTACTAATATTTAGCATGCTGCTCAGCACACAGCTAAAATAATCTGAAGTCTTAGCCAAAAAGCAATTAAATTAACATTAATATTACTTTTATTTTTTTAAAAAATAGATTCTAACTATACCTTTAAAATGAAATTTAATTTTTTTTAAAAAAATTTGAGACCAAAGAGGTCTGAAATGAAAATAACATAACTCTCTTCAACTACTGAATAACAATTATCATGAGAAGAAAAGTTTAAAGATATTCTCTTACCTCTTGGATTTGCATCCATATCTCCAGATGTTAGTCCAATCAGGTTGGGGCGCTGAGTCTGTGTTCTTGAAAAGAACTGTCTGTACTGTGATCTACCAGAACTGGTAATACTTGGTGCTTCTGGATTGTAACCATCTGGTTCATATGTATCTGAGGGAAAACAAACCAACAAAACATGTAACAAAATCAGAGAGAGGTTAAACCATTTATTACTATAAAATAGCTGCTAAAAATATATATTCTACAATAATATTACACCAATCACATATATTTCCCTTTGAGTTACAGTATACACACATTCCTTTGGGAAGTGAAAGGAAAAAATGATAATGTCATAGAAACATATATAAAGATATTCATTCTCAAATACTGGTACATTTCCAGATTTGCTCACTTAGTTACTTCTCTGTATGTGAATCACTTAATCTAAATTTCAATGCACATTTTAAAGACAAATTTTCATGTACATAACGAACACCACATGTGAAGGATTACTGATTTTCATGTCTCACCAGTTCCTAGGTACTTTTTAATTAGGAAAAAGAATCAACGTATTTATTTGATTATCTGTATTTTAAAGAGATATCTCTTTCACATAAAAACATTTCAAATAACATAGGTAGATAAAGCCAGGCATGGTGGCAAGCACCTGTAATCCCAATTAGGGGCAGGAGGACTGTAAATATAGGCAACTAGTACTCTGCCTTAAAATTTAAAGACTGGAGGATGTGGCTCAGTGCAAAGGTTCTGGGTTCAGTCCCCTATATCAGGGGAAATCAACCCAGATACATAAAATAAATTTTATATTTATAAACATAGTAATTACCTTAGTACCATACTCTTCATCAAGGTATTTTTGTCACATGTGTTTTCTCTACAACTAAAAATGAAACTTAAAATTCTTATACTTTATTAGTTTTGTTAATGTTAAGAGATATTCTGAAAGTAAATTTACAAATGGCATGTATCTTCCTCTTCATCCTACATAAAATGAAGATTAGGATTAACTGCAAACACTGATTTCCACAAGTGTGATTTAAAAGTCTTTCTGTGTGTTTTTTTTTTTTTTTTTAGGGAAAATATTCCTTAAATGGTTCACAGTCAGTTTAAGCTACAAGTTAAGGTACACTGAAAGCTTTACTAACAGTCATTTCTACGATTCAGAGTATAAAGTCAGCAAATTATCCCCACTGAATGATCTTCCTGGACTCCACATGATTTCTATCTGCAGCCCCTACAGAAGTCCCCCATTTCTCATTCTCAACCCTCTTAGATCAAAACTCTCCCCCAAATAGTGTATGTCCCTTAATTTCACACTGAGTAAATTCTCTCCTTGGCAAAAATATCAACAGATCACCATGAGTCTAGAAGAAGAAAACACCAATAAAGCAGAAATGCTTCTGAGACACAGTACTTGGTATTAGATCTACAACTGCTGGTCAGTATTCCTTCTCCCCACCCTTCCCCCATTTCTTTCCCTTCTTCTGGTCTTTCAAAATGGCTCATGGAGTTGTACAGAAAGGACATCAGAGATTTAAAAATGGTACCCTAATAAAATGTCAAATGATGCTGAAAATTTATCACCAGGGCCATTTGTGTTGCCCTCCTCAGAGGAGAATGGCTTGGAAAATTTAATAAATTGTTATCACAATAATGTTCACATTTCATTCTCAAGACCTCCATTCAGCCTCAAAGTTATCTGATGATGACTAATAAAACCAAATGACTTTTAATGCTTCAACAGTTAGAAAGCTATGTTTAAGTTATCCACCAAACAGTATTTTTTGGGCTTCATTTTTAATAAATTTTCTGCTGAGGCCCCTCTTGATAATTTTTAAGACAAATAAAGACAACATTTAATCCTGAGTGTGCCCTTCTGAGGGAAACATGTACTGTAATGATGTGTAGCTTACACCTCACCTCATCTTCTTATTAAATTTAAATGTGACTGGACTTGGCAGGGCATGCCTGTAACCCCAGCACTCTGGAAGGCCAAGGAAAGAAGATAAAAGTTTGACCCAGCCCAAGCAACTTAGTGAGATTCTGTCTTAAAATAATATTTTTAAAAGGCCAAGGATGTAGCTCAGTGTAAGGGTATTGGGTTCAATCATCAACACTGAAAAATAAATTGTTTAAAATTGACTATTAGTTTGAAGATGACACATAAAAACAATAGCTTCCATAGTTACAAAATGTTAAGTCTAAAAATTGTATGTGATATACAAAATAAGTGTGGCTCTACCTTTTAAAAAGTCAGCAAATTATGATAGTTTTAGTCAACATTTGGTACTACTAACAGAAATTTTGTTAAGGATACAAAAAGTTTTAAAGTTACATAATGAGATAACTTTTACAGTTCCTGAGAATATACAGAACCCCAATAAACTTACATCCTTGAGTTCATTATGACGAACTAAAATCTAAAAAACTTTTTTTTTTAAATCTCATGAGACACCAACAAAGTACTCCACAGATTTTCAAAATACATGTCAGAAGGAGGGAAAATTTTTGAAGAATGAATCAGTCCATACAACAAGGGCCAGGGGGAAAGAGTGATATTTACCCATAATCAGCAAGAAGCCAGATGTTTGGTTTAATTATAAAGAAAAATTAACCTAGTTTTTTTCTTGTAATATGTAACTAATTGGAAAATATTCAAGTAGATACCTTCCTAGCCACTTGATTAGAAATTGCCTCAAAGAACTAGCATGACTTTTGTTACCGAGACACTCAAAGTAAATACAGAGGACACCAGAGATGACAGACACACAGGAGGCCTAATCATCTAGCAACCACTAGGGACAAACCAAAGAAGTAGAGAAACAGAAAATAAAACTACCTAAGAGCTTTAGTAGGAATTTATGACAGCTGATCTGCCTGCCAGGTCACCTCTTAGGCTGGCCAGCTTCAGGTACAAAAGACTGGTGAGGTGAATGGCCATCTGTAGCAAAGCTTACCTGGGATCAGAGGGGTGGGACTGGAGACTGAGGTATGGTACCCAATGGAGGATCCCATGAGGTTTCGAGGTGGCACCAAACGAGCTGCCAACAGAGGAGGCGGTGTCCCCAACTGAAGTCGCTCAGATGCAGCAGCACCATGTTCACGAGAGTACATGGGCTGTCCTATAGAGGAAAGAATAGGACGGCAGCTGGGATTGAGAGGCACAAGCTTCACTTAGGTAATGATGTCCTTCCTGAGACTTTCAGCCAAGAACAGAAAAATTACACCAATAGGAAGAGTAATTGAGAAAGATGTCGTTGTGATCCTAACTCAAGAAAACAGAAACACAACTACTTAGGATGCACTGAGGTACAAAGAAAGTTAAGAATTGGGTACTGTTACATAATCTCCATTGTTTAGACTGCTAAATGGAGTAACTGTGCTAATTTTATCCAAAGCTCATCAGCCATATCAAGTTGTTACACAAATCAGTCCTACGTAACTAGTCATAGAGAAGTTTAATTCCAATGAGACATGCAGATTACAAAAGCTGTCGCACACACTATTCTTCCCAAACCACCATCCACAGAATTTCAGATTGTCACGAAGTATATTCTCGCATCTTGGAGCAGAAAAAAAAACAGTAAAGGAACTAAAACAACGCATCAAAGGGACATCCTCACAGAAACGAAAAGATCCAAAAGAAAAACTTAAGATAGTGAAAATTTGTTATTCCCGTGAACAGGCAAATACCAAAAAAAAAGGGTAAAAGTGACAAAAACTTAAATAAAGAGAACAGCAGCAGACATATGCAACTATCCCAGATACTAAGAAACACATTTTGAAAGAAAGCACGTTTAAGGTTTACATATATACCGATACAACAATGCAGACACAATGAAACCAAATTCTGTACAACAGTACTAGAAAAAGGCAAAATACCAAAGAAGCAACATCTTCCTTTGATTGTCCATTTATAGAATCTTATCCACTAACAATTCAACATGATTAATATAAATTTACAAGATTTAGTCAATGTTATTTATATTCAAAATGAGTATAACATACTGACCATATTTAACAAGTCTTCTCTACTAGAATACAAGACCCAATGAACTTTGAAAGTTCTAGGGCCTAACAGTGCCTGGTGCACAGCAGAAGCTCAATAAAGAATCACTTAAAAGAAATGAAAAGCTGGGGCCGGGGATTTAGCTCAGTGGTTCCACCGCCTGTCTCGCAAGTGCAAGGACCTGAGATCCCCAGTATAAAAAAAAGAAATGAAAAGCTATGTACTGAGGTGTATACCTATAAACTCAGCTGAGGTAGGAAGACTGAAAGCTGAAGCCCAATATGGGCTATGCAAAGACTTCAAGGCCAGCCTGAAACATACAGCAAGACCCTATCTCCAAAAAAAAAAGAGAGAGAGGAACTAATCATGATAACATGTCGACAGATATTACTTTGGATGAACAGACGTTAAAATGGGCAATATAACAACTGAAACAACATGCATTCAAGAAATGAAATTAAGGGCCAGGGATTTGGCTCTATGGTTCCGCCGACTGTCTCGCAAGGGCCCAAGTTCTATCCCCAGAACCAAAAAAAAAAAAAAAGTGAAATAATTTAGACAATATACAAAGACTCACAAATCAATTTAAATTTACTTTTATAAATATCTAAATCATTATTTTACACAAAGAAATGTTACACACTCCACAGAATTAAATGAGTAAATATCCTAGGAATATACTGTTCTAATAACTTTATATAGTTCATGATAGTAAACATATTTCCTGAAAAACAAACATAGAAATTCAGCTACACAATGGACAATTGGCCAGATATGGTGGTGCATGCCTGTAATCTCAGCACTCGGGAGGCTAAAGCAGGAGGATTGCTGTGAGTCTGAGGCTAGCCTGAGCTACATAGAGAATTCAAAGCCCATCTGAACCACACAGATCCTGTTTCAAAAAAAAAAAAAAAAAAAGAATGGACAACTGCCATCACCCTAAAACACTAGAATTCAGGATCAGTTATTATTTTTTTACACATCCAATACAGTAAGCTTAACAGTTAATATTTCTATAAGAAATAGATCAAATGTAAGGCAAGAAAGAGTATACTTTATTTAAAGTGCTCTTACAGGCAGGAATAGTGTACTTGCCTAGCTTGCACAAAGCCATGGTCTGGAGCCCCATCATTAGGGGAAAAAACACACACTTCAAAGGAAATAGTTGATTTTATTAGGTGTGTATCACTGTCTTTTCATAAAACTGCAACTATATATCATCATTTCAGTCATATTCACAGATCTATGATATTTTAAATAACCAAAATTTCAGATTTTTTCTAAACTATAATCATTGACATTAACTTTTAAATAATCAGGAACTATATATACTCTATCTAGCTTTACAAGTAATCCATTTTATTATTTGGTTGTCCTCTTCCAAAACAAGTGACAGTTGCAGACTAAATTAATGCTTTCATTTTACAAAAGTGGTTTCTTTGTATCTGTGACTGAGGCACTGTAATGGCAAAATACTCTGTAAAGTTTTTTTTATATATATTTAGGCTTCTTTTTGAACCATATTTATTTCCCATTATTAGACTTGTACATTCTTTCTACATTTCTTATCATAGGCACATTCCTAGCATCTAACACTATATAGACTACATTTTTCTGACTTTACTTTGGGCCCCTATTGACTTAATTTTTCACAACTGAATACCATTTTACAGTTTTCATTTACAAGCAGTTTTTGTTGTGAATTTTAATTAATAATTTAAGGCCCTGTTAAACTTTTAGGATAGCTCAAGTTCTCTATTATGTTACAAATATACCTAAGACTGTTTGCTTCATTTGAATCAAAGCAAGCTGTAATCTTGTAAAAATTACTCATAAATGTGTTAAGATACGTGTAGCAACTCCCCACAATGAATGTAATTACAGACTCCAAACATGTATTAGTAAAAATAAAATTTAAAAAATAAAGCAACAGTTAATAGAACTTACACATTAAAAAAATTAGTAACAAGTATTTCAAAAAGTAAATGAACCATTTTAAAAATTTGACCTTTATCTCAAAGAATATACTTTTTAATTTGTAAAAATCACATGAATAGAAAGATATGAAAAACCTATGACTGACAAAATATACTATGTTCTCCAAGATTTTTTTTTTAACATTTAGATAGTTATCAGCAACTATCTACTAGGTTTTCAAATTTCTCTGTAAATTTTAGAATCAAAGTTCAGGCTTTTAAGAAAGGGAGAAAGTCAAGAGTGATGGCACACACCAGTAAATTTCAGTCCTGTGGCAGGCTAACACAGGAAGGTCTCTCAAGTTTGAGCCAACCCTGAGCAACTTCGTGAGACCTTATTTCAAAGAAAAAATAATATATTTGAGGTGGGGACTGGGGATTGAACTCAGGATCTTGCACTTGCAAGACAGGTGAGGTGCCACTGAACTAAATCCCCAGCCCTCAAAGAAATTTTTTAAAAAATGGCTCAGAACATAGCTCAATTCAAAGGCCTTGGGTTCAATCCCCAGGGGAGGGAGGAGAAAACAAAGAAAAATCATAAACTCGCTTGCACGGCAGAATTTTAAACTGTCCATTGCAAGTACTCTATAACTTTGAAAATAACCAGTTGTCAATCAATTAAATCTTTTAAAACATCAGCCCTTCAAAGCAGTAATGCACAAATGCCGATGGGAAGTTATCTTTTATTGGTCCTGAAGGAAAAATGGGAAAAAATATAGTAAATATTTCATAAACCCAAATACTAAAGGATTGTGCTTTCTTCGCAGATAATATATTTTTTGGTGTGAAAAAGTATTCTAAAAATTAAATTAATACTTGATTTTCACACAGTTATTACCCTGAAAAAATTTAAAAATGCCAATTGCATTAGTCCCCAAAATTTTCTTAGGTATGTTATTAGCCTCAGTATTGGCCAGGCATGGTGGCATGTCTGTAATTCCAGCCACTCTGGAGGCTGAGGAAGGAGGATCACAAGTTTAGAGTCCAGCATAAGCAATTCAGTAAGATCCTGCTAAATAAAAAGTGCTGGGATACAGCTCAGTCGTACTTGCTATGATATCCGCAAGGCCCTGGGTTCAATCTCCAGTACCAATGAAATGAATGAATGGCTTTTACAGATACATCACAAAATCTTCTTCCTTTTAAAGAGAAAAGTGAACTTCAAGCAAAATAGGGCCTGATATCCTAATCATTTTGGTTCCCTAGTGGCCACTACAATGCCTGACACAGTAATCCCTCAATAAATATTTGCTGAACTAATGAGCATCAAGCTATGTCACTGAAATGGCAACCGACAAATTTTCAAAAAATGAAAACCATGGGCTGAGCGTATAGCTCAGTAGTACAGCACTAGCCTAGCATGTACAAAAAGCCAAGGCTCAATCTCCAGTATCACAAAAAGTAAGTAAATAAAACCAAATGGAGGGGCCGGGGATTTAGCTCAGTGGTCCCAGCGCCTGCCACACAAACACAAGGACCCTAAATAAATAAATAAATGGAATATTCTTAGAGTGATTCACAATGTTAAATTTAACAGTATAAAAATAAATAATTGCCAGTTTGATTTAAAATTTTTGAGTCATATTACTAAATTTAACAGTGGCATAAAAATATGCTACCTGCAACACATTCTGAGGCAAATAATCCAATTTTTCATATTTAGAAGTCCAAAAGGCATTTAGAAATGTAGCTGACTCAGTGAAACAGATGTAAAAAGATTTATCATAGCTAGTAGTAACTTCTGAAGCTGGGTAATGGTACCTAAGACTTCAATGTGAGTTTATTATTCTTCTCACTTTTATATATGTTTGATATTTCCGTAATTAAAAGTAAATGCACTTTTAAGTGGCAATAACATAATCATTAGACTAAGATACTAAACATGAAACAGGAAGTAGGACAATTGAGTATCATGTGATTTCTGTTCTGAAGAAGTTTGGCTAAATGTAAGATTTACATCTGTCTGGGCAGGTGGCACAGGCTGGAAACCTCAGCACTCTGGGAGGCTGAGAAGAAGATCATAAGTTCTCAAGACCATCATCTCTGACTACATGGCAAGGCTCATATGGACCACACAGAGAGACCCTGTCTCAAAAAACCAAAAACAAAAAAGAAAGATTTACCTAAAAGAAAATTAAACATGCCTGCATGTACCTATATGTCCTTATGTAATAAATAATTTTTTGGTAAAGCAACTATTAAGAGCAGAGCAACACTGGGCCAGGGATTTAGCTCAGTGACACAGCACCTGCCTGGCAAACACAAGGTCCTGAGTTTGATCCATGGTACAAAAAATAAAAAAATAAATAAGCAGAGCAATATCATTCTCCAAATACTTAAAGATCTGGGCCTTTAGTCATAACAAGGGGAGGGCCCAATCAATAGTGAAAAAGGGATTACCAAAAAGGGAGAAGCAGAGAGAGAAAGAGAAGCCCCAGAGAGGGTTGGTTCAAAAAAAGAAATGATGGCAGGACCAGGGATTTAGTTCAGTGGTTCTGCCAACTACCTAGCAAGTATAAGGTCCCAATTTTGATCGCCGGTACGAAAAAAAGAAAAGAAAAGAAATAATGGTTACTGAAGACTTCTCATAAAGACCATTAGCTTAGCAATATTAAATAGTATGTTAGCAGGGTGAAATATCAAACATAATGCTATCAAGATTGTTGTAGCAATAATCCAAGTGTGTGGTGATTCAAAAATGGATGAAGGCAGAGGACAGAGCAGAAACATGAAAATATACTTTAAGGTCAGGCAAGGTGGTGCACACCTATAATTCCAGCACTCAGGGAGGTTGAGGCAGGAGGATTCCATGATCAAGCCCAGACTAGAAAACTTAGCGAAACCCTGTCTCAAAATAAAAAAATAAAAAATGACTGGAGGCGTAGCTCAGTGCAAAGGCTCTGGGGTTTGATCATCAAAAAGAAAAGAAAAGGGACGGAGGATTTAGCTCAGTGGTGTCACCTCCTGCGTCACAAGTACAAGGACCCGAGTTCGATCCCCAGTACCAAAAATATATACACACATACATACGCGTGAGCACGCGCATGTGTATGTGTGTGTGTGTGTGTGTGTGTGTGTGTGTGTATATATACACG